TATATGGGGTCGGTTATACTGATGCTGCACTCTGCACTTTCTGTGTAGATTTTGATACAGGCTCAGGTTGATCGAGATTTGCTATTAGTCCGTTGTCCGGAGACTCAAGGTAGATCTGTCGGCATTCACAAACCTTGAAGTCCCCGTCTATCTTTTATGTTCTACTATTTTCTTTCATTCAGACAGTTGTATTTCTTTAGACTATTACTTGTAGTAAATTCTAGAATGTTCGTGAATAGTGACTCCAGATCCGGGTGGTAGTAATTAATATCGTTTTATGATATTCTGCACTTATTATATTTTATTTGAGTTAATTATTGATATTTACTGAATCGAAATAAGGAAATGGTTTAATGATTCTCTAACGTTGGTTTGCCTGGCAAGTGAAATGTTAGGCGCCATCACGATCCCGTCGGGGGAATATTTCGGGTCGTGACAGTGTCACCTCCAAACAATTCACATAATACGTATAATCAGGGTTCATACCCTCAGCTCCAAGATTAGAGATGTTACTTACCTCGAACAAGCCAAATCCAATATCGAGCAAGCTGTACAATACTCCGTAAATTCCATTCCGTGCGTATCAACCTCCATATGCCTTCCTATCTCTTCAATTCAAGCCAAATGATTCGTATCTATTCAAACAACATGCAAATTAATCACAATTTACTCTAATGCTAACAATTTAACAATTAACAAAATTTCCCAATTTCGCTCGAAAAATCGACAGTGGGGCCCACATCTCAGAATCTGACGAAACACACAAAATCTGATAACCCATTAAATTACGAGTCCAACCATATAAAAATTATCGAATTCCGACATCGGAATGACATTCAAATCTTCATTTTACATTTTTGGAAGATTTTATAAAAATCTGATTTTTCTTCCATAAATTTACGGATTCATGATGTAAATGAATATGGAATCATAAAATATAATCAATATAGGATAAGGAACACTTACCCCAATGTTTACCCGTAAAGATCGTCCAAAATCGCCTAAACTGAGCTCCCCAACTCTATTTTTGTCAAAAATGGTAGAAAACCTCCGTTTATAGGGCCTCAGCTGTTTCGGGCGCCACATGTGGCGTGGGGCGCTGCCTGTGGTACTGTTTCCAGTACCTTTAAACATCCCAGCACCAGGACTAACGCCCCACGCTACCCTGGGCATTAACAGCGACGGAAAATCATCTCCAACAAGGAAATGGACATAACTCTCTCATACGATGTCCGATTTCGACGATTATTTTTGCTATGGCTCCGTAATTTCAATATGGATCTAATGCTTCAATCATAACTGAGATCGGAGTTCATTTTCTTAATGTGATACCAAGTATTCCTGAAGAATCGACGTCGAACATTTTAGGAATATCCAACTTAAATTCCGTTAACCATCCGAAATCCACCCGAGGCCCTCAGGACCTCAACCAAATATACCAACAAGTCCTAAAATATTATAAGAACTTAATCGATGCCTTAAATCACATCAAATAATAATAAATCCACGAATTATACCCCAATTCAAGCTTAATGAACTTTAAATCTTTCAACTTTCAAACCTCGCGCCAAAACATATCAAATCAATCCGGAATGAAATTAAATTTTCCGTACAAGTCATAAATGACATAACAAAGCTATTCCAATTTTCAGAATATGATTCCGACCTCAATATCAGAAAGTCAACTCCCCGGTCAAACTTTCAAACTTTAAATTTTCTATTTTCGCCATTTCAAGCCAAATTTAAATATGGACTTCCAAATAATTATCCGGATACACACCTAAGTCCAAAATCACCATACTGAGTTATTGGAACCATCAAAACTCTATTTCGGAGTCGTTTGCACAAAAGTCAAACTCCAATCAACCTTTTTTGTTTTTCATTTAAGCATCCAGCATGAAATTCATTCTTTCGAATTAATCGCGAAATACCTAAAAATTAAAACCGACGATTCACACACGTCATAATTCATCATATGAACCTATTCAAGACTTCAAATAGTAGAAAGGGGAGTAATTACTCAAAACGACAAGTCGACTCATTACAGTAGCAAACAATGGCAATTAGTAGGGAAAATTCTCTCAACAAAGTTAGGCAAAATATTTATCTCAAACAAGCCGTATCCAATGCCGAGCAAGCTAAACAATACTCCAAAAATTTTATTCCGCACGTATCAACCTCCGAACGCCTTCCTATCTTCTCAATTCCAAGTCAAACAAACTGAAACTAATCAAACAACGTGCAAATTAATCAAAATACACTCCAATGCTTACAATTTAATAATTTATAAAAATTTCCAACTTCGCTTGAAAAGTCAACCAAACATCAACAACGGGGCCCACAGCTTGAAATCCGACAAAAATTATAAAATTCGAACCCCCATTCTACCACGAGTCCAACCATACCAAAATTAATCAAATCCGACTACAACTCGGCCTTCAAATCCTCAATTAAAATGTATGAAAATTTCTATCATTTTTAACCCAAACACACTAATTTATTGATAAAAATAATAATAGATTCATATAATTTAACCAAAACCGAGTTAGAATACCCACAAGGTGGAAGAAATACCAATAACAATAACAATAAAGTGGAAAATACAAAGGTAGCAATAACGAACAAGACAATATATATGGACAACGGTAAAAGACTAGGTGGAAGGCAGAGAAATCATGACAACAATTAGGAAAGAAGAATATAAATTTTACTAACTAGCATGGTAGAAGGCATAAATTCAAATATAACAAAGAAGAAGAAAATCATAATATTTGCAAGTTAAACAGAAAGAAGGCATGGATAGCACAACAACAATTGGGGTAGAGGACACAGACAAAACCACTATAAGTCACATAGAAAATATAGGTGCACAATAACAGCTCAAGATAAAGGCATGAATGTATATACAACGAAAAGATATCACAATATATTGTATGTCTCTCATCCTCGCCTGCACGAAAACACCCTTCGTGCCATGAACATATATAATATAAAACATGATAATGTAACTGAAATGACACGGCATCACCCTTTGTGCTTTTACTCTCATCCTCACATGATAATGTGCATGATGGCATAATAATATAATTGAAATGGCACGACATCACCCTTCATGCTTTACACTCTTTCTCACATAATAATACATATGAAGTGGCACGGCATCACCCTTCGTGCTTTTACTCTCATCCTCACATGATAATATAAATGAAATGGAACGGTATTATCCTTCGTGCATAATAATATATATGAATGGCACGGTACCACCCTTCATGTTTTTACTCTTTTTCTCACATGATAATGTAAATGAAATGGCACGGTATTATCCTTCGTGCATAATAATATATATGAATGGCACGATATCACCCTTCATGCTTTTACTCCCATCCTCACATGATAATATAAATGAAATGGCACGGTATTATCCTTCGTGCATAATAATATATATAAATGGCACGATATCACCCTTCATGCTTTTACTCTCATCCTCACATGATAATATAAATGAAATGGCACGGTATTATCCTTCGTGCATAATAATATATCTGAATGGCACGGCATCACCCTTGGTGTTTTACACTCTTCCTTACCAAGTACATGTATATCATTAACAAGCAAGGTAGGAAGCATAAATTATATCAAGGAGAGTGTTTAAGCTAATGTTCCAATTGAGCATCAATCACGGCTTTCAAGCCAATAACAATTCAATAAACCGCAAGTACTTTATTATTCAAGTATTTTAACAAGTCTCAAAAATGATCTTCAACTAAAGTATAAAATTCAAAATCTCAAGAATAACGGGCGTAGCGATGTATTTGTGATTAAGTATAATAACGACCGGATTTAGCACATCAATAATTTCATAAAAAGTCTATTAATATTTTAATCAAATTATAATAATCCAAATCATGATTTCTAGCATTTAATTTCGTATCCATAGAAATCTAGAAGTCAAAAAAGACATGAAACAAGAATATCACATAATTCTACAAAGCACAATTAATCGTATAATTTACCCCCGAACATGTTTAGTCCTAGCACATGCATATATGCTCGTCACCTCATATATGTATCACCCCCGTATGTAGCAAACAATGGAAATTAGTAGGAAAATTCCTTCAATAAAGTTAGTCAAAACAAGCCGTATCCAATGCCGAGCAAGCTAAACAATACTCCGAAAATTCTATTCCGCGTGTATCGACCTCCGAACGCTTTCCTATCTTCTCAATTCCAAGCCAAACGATCTGAAACTAGTCAAACAATATGCAAATTAATCAAAATATACTTCAGTGCTTACAATTTAACAATTTATAAGAATTCTCAACTCCACTCGAAAAGTCAACCAAATGTCAACGGTGGGGCTCACAACTCGGAATCCGACAAAAATTATAAAATTCGAACTCTCATTCTACCACGAGTCCAACCATACCAAAATTACTCAAATACGACAACAACTCGTCCTTCAAATACTTAATTAAAGTCTATGAAATTTTCTACCATTTTCAACCCAAAACACTAATTTGTTGATTGCTTCAATCAGAACTCCATAGCTCGAAATGTGTTAAAAATAGCCCAGAAAAATAACAATCTTTTCCGACACAGAAATGGGCATAACTCTCTCATACGATGTCGGAATTTGACGATTTATTTTTATATGGCTCCATAATTTCAATAAGGATGTAATGTTTCAATCAAAATTGAATTTGGAGCTCATTTGCCTAATGTGGTACCACTTGTACTTGAACAAACGACGCCGAAACCTATCAAATAAATTGTGATTAATCTCAAATTTTGTACACAAGTCATAAATGACATAAAAAAGCTACTCAACACTTCAAATAGTTAAACGGAAGTGTAACTGCTCAAAACGAACGGTCGAATCGTTACATATATATTGAACAAGACATTTTAATTTCAGTACAAGCACTTGAAGTACAGTACAAAGCTTGCGATATTCTTTATTTAAAGTTCTTTCCATTACATATTTGGAAAGAACACACACTCAAAACATTATGATGGTATAATTATGTATCTCGTGAAATTAACCGAGCTGGACGCAAACTGACTCGGACACCATTTAGGCATAGACGGTAGGATTGGCAAGAAGGTAGTCTTCAACAGCCTTGAAAAGTTCCATGGCTTTATCTTTGCCTTCATTGTGTTCTTCTTCCTTAAATACATAATCACCCTTTGTGTGGTACTCAGTCGATGTCTTGCAAATACAACCTCCATTTGCAGAAGTTTCGAATTTGACATCATAGGTAATGGATTCCAATTTGTCTCCTAGAACATCTCCTTCGATTAGTGAATATTTGGTTACCAAGTTCTTATCGTCAATCACATGAAGCTTGTGCTTCAAATACTTTATTGGACCATCTGTCATTTCACAAAATAAAGCAAATTTAGTTTGGACATAACAATTGTGAAATTCCAGAAAAAAGTGTAAAAAGGTTTCAAGTGATAATACAACAACCCAGTGAAATTTCACAAGTGGGGTATGTGGAGGATAGTATATACGCAGACCTTATCCTTATCCCGGAGGAGTAAAGAAACTATTTTCGATAGACCCTCGGCTCATGAAGACTAAGTGGAAATTAAAAATGTAATTTTTGAAACAACTAAAATGATTCTTCCCATAGTTTCCAAGTATCTAAATTTAAATTTTAAAGAATAAATTAATCTAGTTCGATTTAGCCCCTTAACTTAGTCGGATAATAAAAATTGCCAAATAAACAGAGACGGTTGAAAAAACAGTACCCTTTAAAGCAGAGTGCTGAATTCCCCCTTCGTCATCATTATCATCCATTGAGAGTTTGCCCGTAGAAGAAAGCCTAATTCCTATTTAATAGAAAATACCCACAAAATATAAAGACATAAAGATTGTATTTCAAGTGATAATAGTATTTAAAAATTAGAATTGTGTTTGGATATAAATACAATTTGCATATATTTTTGAATTTTTATGAGTGAGTTGGAGTAAAAATTTTGAAAACAGTTTTTTTGAGTTTTTTCAAAATTTCGAAATTCAACTTTAAGTGAAATTGAAATTTTCATGGTCAAACAATATTCCGAAAAAAGTATTAAAAAAAATCCAAAAAGGTGAAAAACTTCTTATGGAAAAATGGGCCCTTATTTTCTTGACAAATCTAAGAACAAGCTTTTGCCCAAAAAAAAAAAAAGAATGCTTAATTATTAGTATTTCTTTGAAAATTTCATAGTCTTTCTGAGAGGATTTAAGTAATTTTCTTAAAGAGAGAAAGAATTGCACCAAAAGAACTTAATTAGCCGAACAAGTCAAACCAGTGTAAATTTCCTATGTTTCGCCATTCAAAAATGTATATAATGCACATTTTTGTAGGAAACAAAAATCTTTTTAGCTCTCGTCGTCGTCGTCCTCCTCCTCCTCCTTCTCCTTCTCCTCCTTCTTATTCTTTTTTCTTTTTAAGGTTTTACCAATTTTACTTCCTATATTTAGTTAACAGTTTATCTATTTAATTATTGTAATAAGGCAACTATTCTAATTTAAAATTTTACTTTAATTCCGGAACCATGCATGTTAGGCATAAAAATATACTGTAATGACCCAACCGGTCATTTTAACTTATAAAATACCGTTTCCTAAAATAAAACTTTTCGTAGGTGCTTGTAATGATTTATGACTTGCGGGGATGGTTGGTTCGGGATTTGGAAGTGTTTGAGGTGAAACCGGAACACTTGGTTCCTTAAGTTGGCCTTAAAGTGCTAAGTTTGACTTCAGTCAACATTTTGAGAAAACGACCCCGTAATAGAATTTTGATGATTTCAACAGCTCTGTATGGTGATTTTGGACTTAGGAGCGTGTTCGAAATTTTATTTGGAAGTCCGTAGTTAAATTTGGCTTGAAATGGCTAAAAACAAGAATTTAAGTTTGGAAGTTTGATCGATGAGTTGACTTTTTGATACCGGAGTCGGAATCCAGTTCCGAAAATTTTTATAGCTCCGTTATATAATTTATGACTTGTGTGTAAAATTTGAGGTCAATCGGAGTTGATTTGATAGGTTCCGACATTGAATGTAGAAGTTGAAAACTCTTAGTTTCATTAAGCTTGAATTGGGGTATGATTCATGGTTTTAGCGTTGTTTGATGTGATTTAGAGATTCGACTAAGTTCGATATGATATTTTAGGACTTGTTGGTATATTTGGTTGAGGTCCCGAGGGCCTCGGGTGAGTTTCGGATGGTTAACGGATCAAAAATTGGACTTAAAAAGCTGCTGCAATTTTCTCTTCTGTTGGACATTCTGGGATTGTGATCGAGCCCAGATATCAAGCCAGATATCGAGCCCACGATCGAGCCCTGAGTCGAAGCCAAGGACGAGGCTCAGTATCGAAGCCTCGATCGAAGGCAAGGCTCGAGTGCGTGATCGAAGGTAAGGCTCGAGGGCTAGGATCGAGACCCAAACTCGATGCCCTGATCGAAGGCCCAACCTCGATGCCCTGATCGAGGCAATGACCGAGGTCCCGACTCGAGCCTGAGATCCAAGTTGCGATCGAGGCCCAGTTCGAGGACCAGTTCCGAAGGCTGCTGGGCAGTTTTATAAAAAGAGGACATTCGTCCCATTTGCCCTTTTTGGCGAACTTGAGCTTGAGCAGAGGCGACTTTTGACAGATTTTCAAGGAAAAAACATTGGGGTAAGTGATTCTAACTCGGATTTGGTCTACATATACAAGTATATCATTGATTTTCCCAATTTAATTAGTGTTTTGAGATTTGAGATTTGGAAAAGTTTAGAAATCTCATAGAAAAGAAATTTTGAGATTTCGGTATCGATTCGGAGTCGGATTTGAGTGAAACTGGTATGGTTGGACTCGTAATTGAATGGGTTGTCAGATTTTATAACTTTCATCGGATTCCGAGATGTGGGCTCCATGGAAAATGTTTTAATTAATTTCGGGATTTTTATTAAAAATGCAGTATTTCCTTATAGAATTTATTTGCTATAAGTTTTAGTGATTGTATCGAATTATTTTGGTTAGATTCGAGCCAGACAGAGTTGGATAATCATGGAAAAGGCAAAATTGTGGATTAAATTGGAGCAAGACGAGGTTAGTCTCTTGTCTAACCTTATGAGGGGAAAATTACCTCATAGGTGATTAAAATTAAATAATTGTTGCTAATTGTGGGGGGCTACGTATGCACGTGGTGACGAGAGTCCGTGCGTAGCTACTATTAATGCTAAAGTCCGGGTAGTTTAGGACTCAAATCATGCCTTACTTGTGTAAATTGTATTTTTGATTTATTTATATTTATTGATATATATATGAATATAGTGTGAATAGTTAGATAAAGATATTAAAGGATGGAAATCTCATAGGCTTGATTGTCTGTTCAATCAATTAATTGTTAAAAGAAATTGTTCTCCTCCCAAATTTATCTTATAAGAAATATACTCACATTCCGGAGGCACATAAGAAAATCTCCTCCTTTCTTGTGGAGCGGGCCGAACGCCTCAGCAGGATAGATGCATCTATGGATCGCGCCGCACGTCCCTCGGCAGTGTACACGATACTCTAGATCGGGCCGTACGTCCTCGGCAGAAATTGTGCTTAATAATAATAATTACACGATACTTTAATAATTTATTTCAGCTTGAGAAGCTAATTAATTATTTGGAAAATTCTTGAAATTTAATGAATTATTATTCTTGCTTGTTTATGGAATTAATTGTTTCTCATGTAAATGAGATTTAATTGATAAATTGGAATTTATTTGAATTGAAGGAATTTAATTACTATATTGAGAATTGTTACATTTGAAGGAATTTGATTATTTTCGCTGATTAAATAAATTATTTGTAAATTCTGTAAATCATACTGATTTAAATTTCCTAGTTTTATTTCAATTATTATTGACCCATAGTGAGTATCAAAGTCAGCCATCTCGTCTCTACCACTTCGAGATTAGGCTTGATACTTACAGGGTACACGTTGTTTACGTACTCATACTACACTTGCTGTACTTTCTGTGCAGGATCTGAGACATGTACTAGTGGAGGACCTATCATCACATACCCACGTCATCCCGAGACATAGTGGTGAGCTGCCTTTCTGAGCCGTTCTGCAGCTACCACTATCTTTTCTTATATTTATATTCTGTCTATTTCATTTCAGACAGTATTTGGAGTTTTGTATAATCTACTAGATGCTCATGCACTTGTGACACCGGGTCTTGGCACACACATTGGTAGAAGTTGGTATTTTATTATTTTCTTGGAATAAAAGTTTAACCAATGTACAATTGACTTATTAGTTGGCTTGCCTAGCTGTAGTGTTGGGCGCCATCACGACCTATAGGTGAAATTGGGTCGTGAAAACATGGTATCAGAGCACTAGGTTCACGTAGGACTCACAAGTTATGAGCAGACCTAATAGAGTCTTGCGGATCGGTACGGAGACGTCTATCCTTATCTTCGAGAGGCTATATGGTGTTAGGAAACTACCTTTCTTAATATTCGTTCGTGCAATTGATGTAGTACTAAATATCCTTCTCTTATCCTCTCACAGATGGTGAGAACATGCTCTAATAAGATTCCAGACCAGGGAAGAGCTACTCCCCCAGTTGCTAGAGGACGAGGCAGAGGCCGGGGGAGGGCTCCAGGCCGTGGTAGAGGGCGAGGACGTCCCAGGACTGTTCCAGTTATGCCGCCAGT